ACACACATGCAGAGACGGTGGCCCTGGGGGGGGGACACAGTGTGGGGGGGACATGGGGGGCACACAGGGGGGGTCCAGGAGTCACCCCGGCCCCAGGGAGGGGACACGGGACCCCCCCAGAGCCCGAGCTGAGACATCCCCCCACCAGGGCCCCCAAAACGTGTGGGGGGGGCAGCTCCCCAGAAACTGCTGCCTCCCCCGGCCCCAAAAGCCCCTAAAGCCCCCGGAGGGGGGGCACCAGACCCCCAAACTAGAGGGAGGGGTCCCACAGTGGCACTGGGCATTGCTGGGGGTCCCTGCCCCCGGGGGTGCCTGTGGGAGGGGGGGGTCCCTAAACCAAAGGGGTCCCTGGCTGAGGGGTCCCTGCCCCATTTTGGGGGGGATCCATTTGCAGGGATCCCTAAATCAAAGGGGTCCCTGCCTGGGGGGGTCCCAGCCCCTGGGGTCCCTAAAACCAAAAGGGTCCCTTTCTTGGTGGGACCCTGTCCCGTGGGAGGGGTCCCTGCCCCTTGAGGTGCCCGTTTTGGGGAGGTTCCTACCCCCGAGGGTGCCCATTTAGGGGGTGTCCCTCCACCACAGGGGTCCCCACACCCCCCCGAGGTCCTGGCCAGGGGGACCCCAACCCTGGGGGTGCCCAGGTTGGGGGGGGGTCACTGTTTGGGAGGTCACGACCTTGGTGGGTTCCCATTTGGGAGGGTCCTGCCCCATGGGGGGGGGTGTCCTTGTCCCATAGGGGGGGTCCCTACCCTTGGGGGTCCCCTGTCCCATGGTGGGGGGTCCCTACCTCTGGGGGTGCCCGTTTGGGAGGAGTCTCGACCACTGGGGGGGCTCCATTTAGTGGGGGGGTTCCCTCCACCACAGAGCTCCCCCCCCACCCCTCCCAGCGTGGGTGCCCCTCCACCGGGGGGGGTCCCTACCCCTGGGGGGGTCCCCTGTCCCATGAAGGGGGGGGTCCCTACCCCTGGAGTGGGACCTGTCTGGGGGGGTCCCCTGTCCCACGGAAGGGGGTCCCTACCCCTGGGGGGGACCTATTTGGGCTCATTCCCAGTTGGGGGAGCTCCCCCCCCACACACCCCCTCCCAACACGGGGGGTCCCCCCCTCCTCTCCCCTCCTCCCCATCCCGGGGGAGGGGGGGGTGGGGTCCCCAGGGTGGGCGGGGTCACGGCGGGGGTGGGCGTGTCACTGCAGCCCCTCCCCGGGGGGAGCCCCCTCCGGCTGCTCGGGCCCCCCGGCCTCGAAGGGGGGCTCGGGGCCCATGATGTCGGGCTCCAGCTTGCCGGTGTCGTTGATGAAGGAGGTGTAGGAGTCGCCCTCGGCCATGAGCAGTTTGAGTTTGGGCATCCAGCTCTTGCGCACGACCCGCCGCGCGTTCGTGCACATGTCGGCGGCGATGGCGTTCATCTCGCTCTCCTTGAAGTCGGGGGCGAAGTTCTGGCAGTAAACTGGGATGGGGGGGGACACGGGGAGGGGCTCAGGGAGAGGCCTGGCTGGGAAAGGGTCTCCCCCGACCCCCCTTGTTCTCTCCTTGGGGCTGGGAAATCAAGGGGGGTGCGTGGGGGGGGGGGTTTCTGTTGCGTTGGCACCTCCCTGGGGTCCCCCCAGCCCTGGGTCTCCCCCTGTCCCAACCCTGGGGTGTAAACTTGGGGGGGGACACACAGGGAGGGGCTCTTGAGGGGGTACCAAAGCCCCCCGAGGCTGTTGGGGGTCGTGGGGGAGTTCAGGGGGAGGGCTGGGCATTGCTGGGGGTCCCTGCCCCTGGGAGTGCCTGCGGGGGGGGCCCTAAACCAAACGGGAGAGGTTTGGCTGGAAAAGGCAGCTGGGGGGTTTCTTCCCCCGTCTCTCTGTTGGCACAACCCTATCCTTCAAAACCTCCTTCCCTGGGCCCCCCCACAACCCCAGGCCCCTCCCACTCCTGGGGTGCCTCCGTAGCCCCCCTGACCCCCCCAATTCCCAAGGTGCTCCC